GCCTGAGGCCTGTGCTGAAGAGTCCGGCCCTGGCCCCTCGCCAGCGGAACCTCTTCCCCTTCCTCCCTTCTTGGCGTCATTCCTCACTTCACCCCTTCCTTCCCTCCCATCCAATCCTGCCCCACAATCAAAGCACTCCTGACAGATGGACATTCACTCTCTGCTTAACAATAGTAATAATAATAATAATAGAATCCTAGGGTAGGAAGGGACCTCCAAGGGCCATCCAGTACAGCCCTTTCTGCTATAAAGGACAAACACAATCAAGGCACTCCTGATAGATGGCCATTTAGCCTCTGATTAAGAAGAAGAGGAGGAGAAGGAGGAGACATCTGGGATTTCTTTGGATTTCTTCAATCAAACAGCAGTCAGGACTCAGCTGCAGGGGGGGGGGCTTCATTCTCCCTCCTCTCACGCTGCCTTTTTGCACCATTTTCCCACAGAAACTTAGTCAAACACATACATATTATTTATTTCATACACTTCTAGCCCGCCCTTCTCCTCCTGACGGAGGGGGGGGGCTCAGGGGGGCACTTTATGACGCTATCACCATATAAACAGACAACAAATACATTAAAACAGTAAATTAAACACGCCAGTTAAAGAATCAAAACTTAAGGTTTAAAAACTCTAAAATCAGGACAGTAAATAAACAGCAACACTCGGAAAACAGGGGAATTCCAGACAGGAAACAGTTAGGGCCAGTTAACACCTCCCAACAAAGGATTTGCCCAGGCAAGAAGCAGCCAGGCTTTGAAGCTGCAAGGTCATTTAGAGCATCGGGACTGTGGCGCAGCTGACTGGTCATGAGTTCGAAAGGTCATGAGTTTGAAGCCAGCCCGGGTCGGAGTGAGCTCCCAATCTATTTGTGTACCCATCATTGGCCCGGCCCTGATTTTATTGTGTCATAGTGTAATGTTTTGTTGTGTTATTGCTTATGTTTTTAATTTGCTGCATTGTTAGTGTTTGTTGTTATTGTGTTGAGGCCTTGGCCTTTGTCAGCCGCATCGAGTCCTTCGGGAGATGCTAGCCATGTGTTGACTTTCTTCTTAACATCGTAAAAAAAATCTCTTATCGTTGTCACAGTTCTTATCACCGCTTGCTTTTTCAGTTCCCATTAGCAGTTTTTCATTATAATCCAGCCAGCAGGTAGTTAATGATTTAGTCATTGCGGGCCTTAATCTTTTTGAATGTTGTCTCCAAAATTATTGACTCTCATTCATTCTTACATTCGGTTCCATTCACACCATATATCATATTGAATCTGCACATTACGTTTCTCGTGAGAAGCAGATGGCGACTACTGGGTGGCATATGTTCTGAATCAGAAACTAGAGCAGATGTGTTCTCTACAATACAATTTTCTGAATCAACACCTCAAATACCCAAACCGAATCTAATGTTGACCAAAAACGGATTTGTAACCCTTTTGGTACTAATGTTGGAGAGCGGTCCCTGGTCAAAGAAAGGCAGACGGCACAAGGGATTGTAAATGGAAAGGAAGCCACGTGAACTTCAAAAGGGGACGAGGCAGGGACGCCCACTCCCACCTCTTCTATTTACACGAGTTCTTAAAGTATTGTTAAGGGACGTAAGAGGTGAGGAGTAGATTTCTGGAGTAACGATTGCAAAAGAACACATAAGATGAGAAAAGAGTAAATATGGAGAGGTCTAGAGGGGGAAGCGTATTGTATTAGCTTTCTTTGTGACTGGACTGGAAGAGACCACAGCTCACCTATCTCCCCCCCCCTCCTTATTTTTCTCTTTTTCCTTTTTCCCTTTTTAAAGAAAAGCATGTATAACAAAGAGATGGGGCAGATAAAAGCAATGTCACATGGAAATGAGGGGCCTGCAAAGACAGGAGGGGAGGGTGGACTCCAAAGGAGAAGGCTCAAAAAGCCACGCGGAGGGAAAAAAAGAAAAGTTAGCGCCTGGCCTTCCAGAGAGGAGAAGAGCGTGCTTCCCCTTGGAAATCCTGAGCCTATTTCCTGCAGCCTCTTTCCGAACAGGGCCTAGGGTTCCAGCCTGTCTTAGACGGGGTCCCACTCCCCCTGAAGACGCAGGTTCGCAGCTTGGGAGGGATCCCGGAGCCCCAGTTCTTGGCGGTGTCTGGGAGAGCTTTTGCACAATTAAAACTTGTGCGCCAGCTGCGCCCGTACCTTGGGAAGTCGGATCTGGCCACGGTGATCCACGCTCTTGTCCCATCCCGATTGGATTACTGCAACGCACTCTATGTGGGGTTTCCTTTGAAGACTGCTCGGAAACTCCAACTAGCCCAGCGGGAGGCAGCCAGATTGCTCACCAGAGCGGCATACAGGGAGCATACCACCCCCCTGTTATGCCAGCTCCACTGGCTGCCGATTCAATTCCGAGCACAATTCAAAGTGCTGGTTTTGACCTACAAAACCCTATACGGTTCCGGCCCAGTGTATCTGTCCGAACGGATCTCCCTCTACGTCCCACCTCGGAGTTTAAGATCCTCTGGGGAGGCCCTGCTCTCGACCCCGCCTCTATCACAAGTGAGATTGGCGGGGACGAGGAGCAGGGCCTTCTCAGTGGTGGCCCCCGCCTGTGGAACTCACTCCCCGGGGAGATTAGATCGGCGACTTCCCTCCTATCATTTAGGAAAAAAGTGAAGACCTGGATATGGGATCAGGCATTTGGACACTCTGGCAGCTAAAGGAAGGACCTGGAGGATGGACAAGAACTGACTGAATAGAACGGATCTACGGAATCTTGGAACGCGGAACTTGAGATCGTTTTCTGATGGTGCTATGTTTTGATGACATTGATGTTTTTAATCTGTTTTTTAATCGGTTAACTGTTTAAATGTTGTTTTATTTCTTTGTATACTGATAAAGGCATCTAATTGTGCCTCCCTTGTAAGCCGCCTTGAGTCCCCCTCCGGGGGTGAGAAAGGCGGGGTAAAAGTAACGGAAAGAAATAAAATAAATAAATAGAGTTTGTAGTTGAGAGAGGCCCAGGACCCCCCTGGCTGAGAATTATAAAGGCCCCTCCCTGAACACCTGGCAGTGTAAGAAATCGCACACAGACCCCTTTGTACCTGAGGAGGGATTGATCATTATTGGGCAAGTGTCAAAGTATTTCTCACTTGGCACTGGGCAGCTTCCCTCTTCCTCTTGGTTTGCTACAGCACTAGACTTCCTCTTCGTGTTCCATGAGATCTTTCCCTGTTCAACTCCTGAAGAGATTTCCCTCTCATTTGTCTGGCAGGTAACTTCGGAACAAGTTCTGCGAAGAACGCCTTGTGAGAGCTTGGCCTGAGGAGTGCTGTAAGTTCAAAGTGACTTCAAGGCACACAGCAATGACAACAAGAAAAAATAAGTACTAGACAAATATATTTGAAGCTACATTCCTGTGCAGTTAAGGGAGGAAATAAGATTTTGCTTTAGAAAGAGAGGCTTGGGAAACCAAGCAGAAGGCTACAGCAATACAAAAACTGCTGTTCAGGAGGTTATATCTGTGAACCCCTGGCATCATATTTGAATTATAAATGTGAAAGAATGGCAAGCACTCTACCTCCCTATCCTAGATCAGACACAGGGGAGAACTTACATCAGTGTATGGAGTGTGGAAAACAATTTGATAGGAAAAGTAATCTTACTGTACATGAACGGACCCACACAGGGGCGAAGCCATATAAATGCATGGAATGTGGAGAAAGCTTCAGTCAGAATGGCGCTCTACGGTCCCATCAAAGGATGCACACAGGGGAGAAGCCATATCAATGTATGGAATGTGGAAAATGCTTCAGTCGGAGTGACAATCTACGTTCCCATCAAAGGATCCACACAGGGGAGAAGCCACATATATGCATGGAATGTGGAAAATGCTTCAATCACAGTGGCAATCTACGTTCCCATCAAAGGACCCACACAGGGGAGAAGCCATATAAATGCATGGAATGTGGAGAAAGCTTCAGTAAGAGTGGCACTCTACGTTCCCATCAAAGCACCCACACAGGGAAGAAGCCATATAAATGCATGGAATGTGGAAAGAGCTTCAGTTACAGTAGCACTCTACATTCCCATCAAAGGATCCACACAGGGGAGAAGCCATATAAATGCATGGAATGTGGAGAAAGCTTCAGTAAGAGTGGCAATCTACGTTCCCATCAAAGGATACACACAGGGGAGAAGCCATATAAATGCATGGAATGTGGAAAGAGCTTCAGTGACAGTAGCACTCTACGTTCCCATCAAAGGATCCACACAGGAGAGAAGCCATATAAATGCATGGAATGTGGAGAAAGCTTCAGTCAGAGTGGCAATCTACGTTCCCATCAAAGGACCCACACAGGGGAGAAGCCATATAAATGCATGGAATGTGGAGAAAGCTTCAGTCAGAGTGGCAGTCTATGGTCCCATCAAAGGAAGCACACAGGGGAGAAGCCACATAAATGCGTGGAATGTGGAGAAAGCTTCAGTTGTAGAAATAGTCTGTGTTCTCATCAAAGGAAGCACACAGGGGAGAAGCCATATAAATGTATGGAATGTGGAGAAAGCTTCAGTCAGAGTGGCAGTCTACGTAGACATCAAAGGAGTCATACAGGGGAGAAGCCATATAAATGTATGGAATGTGGTAAGAGCTTCAGTGAGCGTGGCACTCTACGGTCCCATCAACGGATCCACACAGGGGAGAAGCCATATAAATGTATGGAATGTGGAAAGAGCTTCAGTGAGAGTGGACATCTGCATACCCATCAAAGGACCCACACAGGGGAGAAACCACATAAATGCATGGAATGTGGAAAGAGCTTCAGTCACAGTGGCACTCTACGGTCCCATCAACGGATTCACACAGGGGAGAAGCCGTATAAATGTATGGAATGTGGAGAAAGCTTCAGTCAGAGTGGACATTTCCGTTCCCACCAAATGACTCACACAGTACAGAAGCCATAGAAGTGCATAGAATGTGGAGAAAGTTTCAGTCAGAGTAACCAACCTGATTCCTTCCAAATCTATCTACATTGCTTTCAAAGGAGCCACATAATAGAGAAGCCATATAAATGCACGGAATGTGGGAAGAGCTTTAGATAATGTTCAGCATACAATAAACATCACGGAACTCATGCGCCGCTAGAGGAGACCTGCCTTTCAGTTTCTGAGCTCTCTTTCAAAAAATATTGGAAGGAAAGAGGAAGGCTGGCACCTGGCTCTCTCTCTCTCTCTCTACCATGAAATACAGTTTGTGTGGCCTTGGTCGGCGGCTACTGGGAGCAGGTCTCACTCAGAAGAGGATTTTTCTCCGCATTGCAGCAAGCTCCGAAGGGGTTCCCCTCGCCTCCTCCATAAGAAACCCGTCACAGGCTTCTAGGGTGATCTGTGGAGGTTTGCTGAAAGGAGCAGCAGCTGAGATCTCTGGATAAAAGGGTTCTGAAAAAGAAGAGCTCTTTGGTAGCAGAGAAGGTCATCTCTTCATACCCTCGTCTCCCGTCTTGGCTCTGTTGCCCCTCTGTTAGAATTTTGGGCTCCAGCCATGTACCTGTCACCCTTTTCTGGACTTCGTTGTATCCTGAACAGTTGATTATAAATTCTGGACTGTCTTCTGGTTGAGAACTCACAGCATGTTGCGAATGAGAACTTATTGCTTAATGTTTGTTATAGATGTTTTTCTTGATTGAATAATTGATGTTTATATAGATTTTGCCCATGGTGTTGAGACAATAATAATCTTATTGTATGTAATATATGCATTGTGTAATTTAGTGTTATAATTGATTGAGTGATTGAACAACTTAACACATTGATACATAGATATTGGTTGTTTTTTACTGTTTAATGGCCAAGGGTCCATGAGGAGACACAGCACATCTCCCTAACTGCAGAGAATGGAAGACAAAGAATGTAGTACTTTTTAATAAAAGTACCAAAATTATAATTTGTGTAAAGAACATTAAAGACCAAATTTGTAATTTGTATCAACATGCTTTGTTTTTGTTTTTTGTCTTTGGATAAAATTTGTCTTTTTTTTAAAAAAAATAAGGTGTGCTACATCAGTTTAAAAAGCCAGTGTGATTTTAGGCTGTCCCAATGGGAGCGTGAGGGTTTTAGTGGAAGTTTTCGTGGACTCTCTTCTAGACGTGGATCAGGCCTCCCCTGGAATCACCCTGCGTTCTGTTCTGGGCAGCACCATTCCAGCAAGATTTTGAGACGCTAGAATCTCTCCAGAGAAGGGCGATAGGGAATGGCTGAGGGAGCTGGGGATGTTTAGTTTGGAGGAGGAAAAAGGCCGAGAGGACAGGAGAGCCAATATTTGGAAGGATGTCCCATTGAGGGGAAAAGGGCCAGTTGTTCCTGCTGCTCTGGAGACTAAGATATGACACAACTGATTCACGTTGCAGGAAAGAACCTTCCACCTAAACTGTAGGAAGCATTTCCTGGTGGGAAGAGCTGTTCTGCCATGGAAGCATTGTCCCATCTCAGGAGCCCCCCTTCCCAAGGCCTGGCCTTCCACCTCCTGGGGACTCGCTGCCTCTCCCGGCTCTCCGCTCGCGGTGGCCCTCCCTGGAGCCCAGGCTGCTCCGGGGGCAATCCGTGCCACCCTGTGCCACGCCCGGCTCCAGCCGGGGGCACCAGAAGCATCTGCTGGGACGTTAGCGTTAGTCCCCGCGGCTGTCCTTCCTCCTCATCACTCTCTGCCCCGGTTCTCCAACTCGCCTGCGTTTTAGGCCGTGCTCCGGGTCCCCGGTCTCTCCTCTCCTCTGCACTCCACACCGATTCCCTTCGGGGTTGTGATTCCTCTATCAAGGGGGCCAGCTGCTCCATCACCCTCGACATCACTGCAAGGGTGGTTTCCATGGATGCCACGTTTTCCTCCAGATACTCCAACCTCTGCGGGGAGGGGAGTTCTAGCCCACTGCTTTCTCTCGCTGCCGCCTTGGCCCCCTTCACTCGCCTCTGGGTTACTCCGTTGGGCCGGGCATAAGCAGTCGATGAAGCCAAGGCAGCTACTCTCTCCAGCTCCTCCTCCGCATTCTCAAAAGGGGAGTCCGGCTCTCCCCCTGCTGCTGGAATTTCCTCCCGTTCCATAAGGGTACCTCACCGCAGGCCAATCCTGGCTTAATGTAAGCTCACAGCAGCCGCTCCCAATAACGACACAGGACGCCAATCCGTAATCAATCAGGAACTTTTACTGCTGGCCATTCATACACGAAGAAAGCCAGGATTGGCCTGCAGCCGCAGTTTAACCCTTATATACCCTCCCTCACAATTGAATTCCCCTTTCCCGCCGGCCGAGAATCCCGCGCAATATTCCCCGCCAAATGCCAACTGCTTCCCCCCAAGGCCACCAGCTGCACATTCTTATCAGCACTCCATGTCAGGATTCTGGTTTTTTGCACCAAGACTCAAGGCCTGGAAACCGGTTCCTGACACATCTGCCATTAACAAATCACTTCTGAAGTTTTGGAAAGTTTTGAATTTCTTATGCAAAAATTAGGAAGTGACTTTAGAATCGAAGCACCTGCTTGCATGCTGGTCGCTTCTGTGGCGAGAGAATCAGCCGTCTACGAAGACGTTGCCCAGGGGACGCCTGGATGTCTTGCAATCCTGCGAGGAGGCTTCTCTCATGTCCCCCAGACATATAACTGACTGGTTGCCCTGGCACGATCAATCAATAAATCAATCAATCAATAAATCAAAGCACCAGGGCCCCCTACTTTTGAACTCAGTTGAGAACCATATTTTTTTGGATTGCACATGCATAAGTGTCCAAAATGTAATAAAGACTCCTGTGTTATTACATTATTAGTCCAAAGTTATTTCTTTGGACTCCAGCTCCCATGACTTTTTCCCCACAGAAAGACCTCAGGGCTTTATAGGCTAAAGCCAGCACGTTGAATTGTGCTCGGTCGCAGACTGGCGAGCAATCTAGCTGCCGCCGATTGGACTATTTGAAGCTTCCAAACAGTCTTCAAAGGCCCCCCAACAAGGAGTGCACTGCAGGAATCTATTTGGGATTTATTGATTTATTTGTCGTGTCAGGGCAACCAGTCCATTATATTACATTTCTAACAGAGCAAAGCAAACAAACAGACAAAATACAAAATTTGTGAGTTTGGTAGATGATTCAATGTCCTTTGACCAGTATCTGGCCACTTGGAGTGCTTCTGGTGTTGCTGCAAGAAGGTCCTCCATTGTGCATGTGGCAGGGCTCAGGTTGCATTGCAGTAGGTGGTCTGTGGTTTGCTCCTCTCCACACTCGCATGTCGAGGATTCCACTTTGTAGCCCCATTTCTGAAGGTTGGCTCTGCATCTCGTGGTGCCAGAGCGCAGTCTGTTCAGCGCCTTCCAAGTGCCCAGTCTTCTGTGTGCCCAGGGGAGTCTCTCATTTGGTATCAACCATTGGTTGAGGTTCTGATTTTGAGCCTGCCACTTTTGGACTCTTGCTTGCTGAGGTGTTCCAGCGAGTGTCTCTGTAGATCTTAGAAAATTATTTCTAGATTTAAGTCGTTGACGTGCTGGCTGATACCCAAACTTTGAGAGTTCTTGGAGAACGGGAGAAGTTCCAGCAGATTGGAGGAGGGCCAATGTGGTCCCAATCTTCAAAAAGGGAAAAAAGGATGACCCAAAAAATTACCATCCAGTCAGCCTCACGTCGATACCAGGCAAGATTCTGGAAAAGATTGTTAAGGAAGTGGTCTGCAAACACTTAGAAACAAATGCGGTCATCACTAATAGTCAACACGGATTTATCAAAAACAAGTCATGCCAGACTCATCTGATCTCTTTTTTCGATAGAGTTACAAGCTGGGTAGATGCGGGGAATGCCGTGGATGTAGCGTACCTGGATTTCAGGAAGGCCTTTGACAAGGTCCCCCATGACCTTCTGGCAAGGAAACTAGTCCAATGTGGGCTAGGCAAAACTACGGTGAGGTGGATCTTAATTGGTTAAATGGACGAACCCAGAGGGTGATTCTCACCAAGGCTTCCTCTTCATCCTGGAAAGAAGTGACGAGCGGAGTGCCGCAGGGTTCCGTCCTGGGCCCGGTCCTGTTCAACATCTTTATTAATGACGTAGATGAAGGGCTAGAAGGCAGGATCATCAAGTTTGCAGACGACACCAAATTGGGAGGGATAGCCAATACTCCAGAGGACAGGAGCAGGATTCAAAACGATCTTGACAGATTAGAGAGATGGGCCAAAACTAACAAAATGAAGTTCAACAGTGACAAATGCAAGATACTCCACTTTGGCAGGAAAAAGGAAATGCAAAGATACAAAATGGGGGACAATGCCTGGCTCGAGAGCAGTACGTGTGAAAAAGATCTTCGAGTCCTCGTGGACAACAAGTTAAACATGAGCCGACAATGTGATGTGGCGGCAAAAAAAGCCAATGGGATTTTGGCCTGCATCAATAGGAGCATAGTGTCTAGATCTAGGGAAGTAATGCTACCCCTCTATTCTGCTTTGGTTAGACCACACCTGGAATATTGTGTCCAAATCTGGGCACCACAATTGAAGAGAGATACAAGCTGGAATGTGTCCAGAGGGGCGACTAAAATGATCAAGGGTCTGGAGAACAAGCCCTATGAGGAGCGGCTTAAAGAGCTGGGCATGTTTAGCCTGAAGAAGAGAAGGCTGAGAGGAGACGTGATAGCCATGTATAAATATGTGAGAGGAAGCCACAGGGAGGACGGAGCAAGCTTGTATTCTGCTTCCCTGGAGACTAGGATGCAATGGAGCAATGGCTTCAAAGTACAAGAGAGGAGATTCCATCTGAACATGAGGAAAAACTTCCTGACTGTGAGAGCCGTTCAGCAGTGGAACTCTCTGCCCCGGAGTGGTGGAAGCTCCTTCTTTGGAATCTTTTAAGCAGAGGCTGGATGGCCATCTGTCAGGGGTGATTTGAATGCAATACCCCTGCTTCTTGGCAGAATGGGGTTGGACTGGATGGCCCAGGAGGTCTCTTCCAACTCTTTGATTCCAGGATTTTTTGGGACTGGGGGGTGGCTTACATACAACACAATGTGCCAGGAACAACGCAAAAAATAAACATACAATGCAATGAAAGAGAAAACCAGAAGCATATAAAACAATTACTTACACTTAAAAACAGCCCCCAATAAACGAAGGGACCTGGTGAGGTTCCACTAAGTCAGATCGGACAGGACAGAGAACAAAGTCATTTGGGATTGAAGGCCAACCACAGAAGTTCATCACACTTTGGCCAAAATGGAGGCAAGTACCAAGTTACCACTCGATGATGCACAAGCGCACCTTTGCAGAGAAAACCATGACTTTCAGTACAATTTCACAGCCATTCAGACCTCCCACGCCTCCCTCCTGATTGGCTGTGAAATGAGACAGCTGGGATTCATGCCATGATTGGTGGGGATCCCGTTGGCATCACAATGGGAAGGAGAGGTTCCCCATGGCAGGAAGAACGGCCGATTCTTGGAGGGTTTGAAGGTCCATTCTGTTGCGAGGACACCCTGCGGAGGGGGCAAAACAGAGGAGGGAGATGGCGTGGGTGTGCAGGTGATTCCCTGATTGACTTAATGTCTCATTCCGAAGAAGGCAACAGTGCCAGGCATGGAAGAGAAAAGGAGATCGTGCCACAGAGCCAGAGGGCCGGGTATCCACTCAAAAGGCTCATTTGTTCATCTTTGCTTAGCCTTTGCACCTGTGGGAATCCTAGACCTCTGGACACACCTGGCAAAACAGAGTGCAAAACAGCCCAACTGATAAAGGGATTGTCTATCTGTCACTCACACACCAAAGGGATTCCATGTCTAGGCTGGGAGATCGCTAGAGGGATATTTGCTGAGGGTAGAGGACTCTCCGTTCCCAGGGTTGGATGTACATAGAAGGGAAGGGGACCAGGTGCCTTCACCATACATTTGAGACACTCTGAATACAGCAGACCCCAAAATATAATTAAATACATTTATGGAAGGTTTGGGGTTCCCTTGCCAGGTCCT